AAGGCTTGTGGGGGTATCGGGGAGGCCACCCAAAAACTCAGGCAAATCCCAGACTGGCTGGTTGCGGCGTGTGAGATATTTCTGGGATTTGGGGGGGCCCGCCGTGTGCTTTCTGGAGCCTCTCGATTGCACTATCCCTCCTTCTGGAAGCCTCTTTCGGGTCACCAGGTGCGGCCCCTGGGGCTTCCAGGTGGCTTGCTGGGGCCTCGGGGGGGCCACCAAAAATCCCAGACAACTCCCAGACTGGCTGGTTGTCGCGTCTGGGTTTTTTCTTTGATTTTTGGGGGCCCTCTGGGTGCTTCCTGGAGCCGCCGGATTGCCCCCGGGAGCGTCCCTGGGGGCCCGAAGGCGCCTGAATTACAAGCTTGTGCGTCTGGGACCTTCCCAGGTTCTCTGGGGCCCTCCCGGGTGCCCCCCCCCCTTGGAGCCTTTCTCCGGGAGGCGGGTTTGCTCCGGCGCCGCTCTGGCGCGTGCTGGCAGAGGAGCCAGCCCCCCGTCGACTGGGGCGGCTGTTTTGGGTGGTGGGTTCTGAGAGGACGGGCCGGGGCACCTCGAGCCGAGGCCTCCTGCCTTGCCTGCCCTGCCCGCCCGACTGCCCCGAAACAGCCCGGCGCGATTGCTTGGGGTGGTGGGAGGCTGGGGCGATGGGCCTGGGATCATCGCCACCGATGCCGCCTCTCTCCTGCCCCTGCCCATCTTGTTGCCCCACCCCGCCCTCCTCCTCCTCCTCCTCCTCCTCCTCCTTCTCCTCCTCCTCCTCGCTAACCGTCACCCTTGTCCTCCTTCCCCGCCTCGGAGCGCGCCGCGCGCAGGACCCCAGCCCGGCACTGTGACCGCTGATGGGCGAGGCGCCTTTCCTCTTACCCTCCCCCGCTGTTTCCCCCCTCTCTCCCTCCATCCCCCCCCACTGGGCCGCGCTGGGACCCGCGGGTTGCCAGTGGGCTCCTGCGCAGGCCGAACCAGCCCAGCCCGCCCGACCGCTCTGGTGGCCTGTCCCGCCTTCTGCAGGCCGCTCGACGGTGGGGGGCTGCGGGGCTTGCCCAGTGTTAGGGCAGGGCCCTGGGGGGAACGCAGTGCCGCCGAGCTTGCCCGGCCTGCACGGCGCCCCCCCTGGGCGCCGGCCAGGGAAGGGCGGCCAGGGGCCGGTTGGCGCGGACGAGCATGCAGGCGTCCCCCCACCTGGGGCGCTGGCCCGCCGACCCCGACTGCGTTGGCCCTTAAGCCTTAAGTCCCTCGGAGGGGTGGCGCTCGCGGTGGGGCGGTCTACGCCCCGAGGGGTCCCTCACCACTTCAGCAGTCCAATGAGCAGTCCCGCCTCCCCGCCCTCGGCCGTCGGCCCAGATTAGGAGGGCGAGTGCGAGGATGAGGATGACGGGCATCAGGATGACAATGATGGTGAAACGGTTTTGACGAAGACGATGACGATGGCGATGGCGATGGCGATGACGATG